CCTTGGCACCCTCCTCTGCCTGCAGCCTAGCAGAATCCTAGAACACTAGACCTGGAAGGGAGCTCAAGAGGTCATCAAGTCCAGTCCCCTGCCCTCATGGCAGGACCAAGCACCATCTAGATCATCCCTGACAGGTGTCTGTCCAACCTGCTCCTAAATATCTCCAGAGATGGAGATTCCACAACCTCCCTAGGCAATTTATTCCAGAGTTTAACCACCCTGACAAAGATTTCCTGTTGTTACCTTGCTTGCTGCAGTTTAAGGCCACTGCTTCTTGTCCTATCATCAGAGGCCAAAGAGAGTGGAGCTTTTTCAACACTTAGCAAGCCTCACAGCTATGAGAGGAGCCTCGCACTGCATTCAGCTTGGCACCTCATGCACATGGTCCGTCCACCTCTTCAGTTTCTCTTTTGCCGTCTCAGGCAGCCATCAGCCCCGCTGCAATTCCTCCCTCCCTCCAAAAAACCCCAAAACAACAATAACAACAAAAATAAACTGGGAGGCAGGGCAAAAGCCATATGAAACAGATGCCTCTACCACCCTTGTGGGTTCCTTTGGCTTTAAAAAATGCTAACTGTGCCAGGAGGTGAATTCGGTCTTGGATAAACATGTGGACGGTATCCACTACTTGGGGGAAGCCCACGTACCCCAGAAATGCGAACTGTGTCACAGTCTCATAGCAAGAGCCAGGAAGGATAGGGAGCTCCAGCGCCGACTGATTGTATTTGAGAAGGTAATGCAGCCCGAGTGCTCTCTGCCAGTGGGACAGGCTCCCAGAAAGAGCCGCTTCACCATTGCCCCATGAGTGGGCTTAGAAGGGCTCACCCCCTTCTAAGCCCTACTCCCAACTCCATCCCCTAGATTGGCCAGAGGGGACAAGATGAACACCCCTGGCACTGCTCCCGTCACATCTTGCTCAGCCCCGGTGCCAGAAAAAGCAGCATCAGAACCAGGGAGCTCTCATCGGCTCACCCATACACTGGTGCTGGTGTTATAGAGAGATGTGGCACCAAGATCCGTGATGCCAATGATCAAGCAGCTTTCCCATAAGGGACTGCCATCAAGTGTGAGCCCTAGGGTGTGTCTAGACTACAAGGTTTTGTCAACAAAAGTGGACTTTTGTCGACAAAACTATACCTGCGTCTACACTGCCATTGAGTTCTGTTGACATAACGTCGACAGAACTCAGCAGTTTTGTCAATGGCTGTAAACCTCATTCTACAAGGAATAACGCCTTCTGTCGACAGAATTCTGTTGACAGAAGGCATTATTGCATCTACATTGTCCTTTGCATCTACACTGCCATGTCGACAAAGCGGCTTGCTTTGTTGACAGAACTGGATGTAGTCTAGATGTTCTTTGTCGACAGAAGCTTTGTCAACAAAAGCCTGCAGTCTATATGTACCCTTACAGCTCCTGACTCGATGCTTCCCCCCATGGAGGCACCGGCACATGACAATGTAGACACAAGCAGTAGGCAGGCTGCTTCACCCTCCTCCCTCCAGATGCCACGTCTACACTCCAAGTTTTGTCAGAAGAGGCAATGCAAATTAAGCACAGATTAGCATTTTCTTGTGCTTCATTTGCATAATCTCTTCCAATCCATTTTTTTTGGTAGGGGTTTTTGTGCAAAAACAAGCAATGTGGACATTTCCATTTTGCGCAAACATCTCTTTTTGCAGAAGATCCTTATGCCTCAGAAAAGGAGGTATCTTGATCTTGTGCACTAAGGTCATGTCTACACTACACAGAAGATCATTGCCCCAGAAGTCGATCTGGCATTCGATTTAGTAGGTCAAGTACGGATCCATAAATCAACCGCTTAGAAGAGCTCTGGCTGGCGTCAAGTACTTTTCCTTTTGTGAGGAGTAGGGGAAGCTGATGAGAGTTTTAGCTCCCATCAATCTGCCACTATGTGAACAGCATGGAACCATGATTTAAGATGTTGACTCCAGCTACATAGTTAACATAGCTGGAGTTGCACATCTTTTTTTGACCTGCTGCAGTGTAGACCAGGCCTAAGCTAATTCACAAGAAACTGCTAGACCCAGGCCAGAATAAAGATAAGCTCTGATTCGAAGGATTTTACCTGGAATAAGGATTAGGGTGACAAATATGATCTAAAACAATCTCTCTACACAGCAATGTTATTTCAGGATAACTGACATAATACTGAGCTGACGACTTCTTGCTCTGACTCCTCAAACTCTCGTTTCAAGAGGAGTCAGGGAAGTTGAAGAAAGTGCTCTTCCTTCAACTTCCTGCTGTGTAGACAGCACGAAAAGCAGAGTTAAGCTATTTCCACTTCAGTTATGCAGTTGATGCAGCTGAAGTTACAGATCTTAATTCAACTTTTGCCCTGCAATGTAGACGTATCTTTAGTGTATTAGGCTTCAGAGGTGCATTTTGTTTATTTCGGCTTAATAGCTTCCTTTGAATTGTCTGTTTTTACTTGCAATCACTTTAATCCTACTTTTTATATGTAATAAAACACTTTTTTGAATGATCAAACCCAGTGTAAGTAATTGTTACCTGGGAGAGAGCAACCACTGTGCATATCACTCTTACATTGATAAAGAGAGCTAACCTATGAGCTTTCTCTGTGTTAAAGTTTTACAGAATAAGAGGGATTTGGGGGGTTGGTCCCATTTAACTGTTACCTCGATTATGCCTTGGCTGGGCGAGACCAGAGCTTCTGGCTCAGGGTTGGGAGCTTCAGAGGGCAGATAAGTGAACTCAGTGGCATGATCATCACACTGGCTGACAATCCCAAAGGGACTCCTGTGCTCTGACACATCACAATCTGTCTTACTGGGGCTACTTGGGTTTGAACATGTGTCATAAATATCTGTTGGGGTAATGCCTAATGTTCCATATAATGTAGTGACGTACATTTCATCATGATATTATTGCCCAGCAAGTTATTCATTTTCAAACAATATCTTACAAGGTACATTTTGTATAAAGATTATAAGAAGAGGGTGTAGGGTGTGGAGGCAGTGGTGCATTCCATCATAGGATGGTACCTCTTTGAAGTTGTTTACTGACTGAATGACTCACCTGAATCAGTCTCCACTGTTCCTAGTTCCCAAATAGCTGAGGTTGCCCTCCCCATGGAGCAGAACACTAGCCTACAGGAGCCAGCCATGCATCTAACAGAATGATTCCCAAAGCGATGGAAGATGGTTGCAATATCCCAAATTCTCAGACTTCTCATTGCTGGGGATCATCCCCTCAGCACCTGCCTGAAATTTTCCCCCTTGCTCACTTCATTCCATTAGCTCTAGTTGCTCCCCTGTGTCTTTGAGAATTTCTTGCCTTTCTGGGACTTACACACTGTGATGGAGTGGACTAAGCCCCAACGTTCCCTACATGATGCTGGAGTCCTTGCCACATCCTACTCCAGTGAGAGGAGCAGAAGAGAGGTCCTCTAGTCAGGACAGAGTGGCTGCCTCCATGGTGGCTAATCAGGGCCCAGCAGACCAATATAAAATTACTCACAGGAGCTCCACCCAGACAGACCCATGCAGTGCCTGGGAGAATAGCGGAACTGTGGACGGCTCTGAGTGTAAGCTGAACTTTAGACCTGGCGGAGGCCCAGGTCCAGTGGCCAAAGACTGACTATGAGAATTTATAACACCCTGGCCAGGGTCTATTGAGAACTCAGCCTCAGAACCCTGAGGCAACCATCCAGAGCAGCATCCTGGGGAAGTGGCCCAGGGAACAACAAAGTAACAGATGGTGAAGGCTCATAACAGGCACCTGCTACTTATAGGGTCCCTGGGCCAGGACCCAGAGAAGTGGGTGGGCCTGGATCCCCTCCAGCCCCCCAGCAGCCACCACAAGGGGGCAAAAAGAAGCCTGGTCCCAGACCACTTACCAATATTTCCTTTGTCATAGATGGCCAGGCAGCGAGCTTACCCAACACCTTTTGGCCACAGACAGTCACTCACAAGCAGGTAGACCCTGTTACACACCCTTCAGATGGGGACACAGTTCTTTTGGATCCTGGCTGGATCCACAACCTGACATGTTCCTTTCTGCGGTTCTTCATGCCTGCAGCCCCTCAGGCGCCACAGGGTAGCTTTGGCTTTAGCCCCTGACTGTTGGGTTCCATGTGGTGTTGGTGCTTCCAAGCTCTGTACCACCTCTGATTTTCATTTGCATCATTCCAGAGCAGGGATTCAAACCTGGTGCACTGATCATTTGGCTATTGGGTGGGGCTAGCTGCTGTCTCCCTCCACAATCCTCTTGTGAACCTAGCCTGAAATTGTATTATTGTTTTATTATGGCTGAAACTATTCAATGGATTGTAACCCACTGTGGGAATAGACTTATTTGACTCAAAACTATGTATATTTTTGGCAAAATAAACTATTCATGGGAAATATTTCCCTCCGCTCTACTTGTGGTGTCACTTCACTAGTTCTCCCTTCACCGTGCTCTTCCATGCCAGACAGGACCTGCATTTCAAATGCAAGAAAAGCCTTTTTGGCCATCAATAGCCAACTCAAAAAAGCAGGGGAAAGGCACAAGACCAATTTTTCTTTTAGCAGCTTCAAATTTTTCAACATTCATTAGCTAGCAGGTGTACCCAACACTGCTCGGGTTGTTAACTGAATTATTTTTCTTTTAGGAAAAGAAATGAGCGATGTGCCTGCTTTATTTCAATTACAACCTTCATTTTACAAAAATGCTGGGGTGAAGGTTTGGGGTAAGGAGAGGCTCAGTAGGGGCCTGAGGGAAGGATGTTGTGGCCGGTGGGGCGGGGGACAGAGGGGAACAGTCCCATTCCCAGCACTTCCCATTTTGCAATCACAACCGAACCTTGACTGTGGTTTAAGTTAGGATGAGAAGAAGCTGCAACCGAATTCCATGGTCCTAGCTCTTACCATTTAGGAGGAGTTCCTGAACAAATGGACAAACAGATGCATAGACAGATGGATGCCCTCTAAAAGTAGATGAGATAGATTAGATTATGTAAGAGACTGAAACCAAAGATGACTGATTGTTTGCATATAAAACTACAGATCACTAATATCACCGTCTATATCTGGAGAGCGTCTCTTTGACAAATCCACTTAGATGCAGCGCTGCAGCTTTCAAAATGAATCACATCTGCTTTTAACACCCCACAGCTGTTTCCTTCAGGAGGATTCACTAACTTGAACCTAGGAAACAAAATAAACAAACAGATCACTGCTTAGGATTTTTGAATAGCTCTCTTAACTGCTGACTGGTTCCTGCAGCACCCTGGTTGATCATTAGTAACAGTAGTTTGGCCTTGGTCTATTTCTGGAAAAGATGTGTCCACATTACAAAACCCAGCCCACAGGATTGTCCTGACCTCAGGACTAGCTCTTAACATCCCTTTCTCCCATATATAGCCTCTGCTCTCACAAATGCTGGAAAAAAATACCCTTGTGCCGCTAGCTGAACATCTTACACCAGCAGATAAAACCACTCACAGTGTTCGATTTAACAGGGACCCATCCATCTATGTCCAGTTCCTTGCAGGGGATGTAACAGTGAGTCCGAGCCAGACCTCGTTTGTGTCTTTGGAATTTGTTTTAATGAAAATCTGTAAATGACAGGGAAGAACAAACTAATATGGGAAAGACGGTTCAGTGGTTAGGGTGTTCGTCAGAGGCTCTTGGCACTGGCTTCAGTTCCCCACTGCTGATAGGGGCAGAATTAAGGCCTTGTTACTATGCTTGGGTATGTCTACACTACAGAGTTAATTCGAACTAACGGACGTTAGTTCGAATTAACTTTGATAGGCGCTACTCTAGCGCTCCGCTAGTTCGAACTTAATTCGAACTAGCGGAGCGCTTAGTTCGAACTAGGTAAACCTCATTGCACGAGGATTAAGCGTAGTTTGAACTTACTAGTTCGAATTAAGGGCTGTGTAGCCCCTTAATTCGAACTAGTGGGAGGCTAGCCCTCCCCAGCTTTCCCTGGTGGCCACTCTGGCCAACACCAGGGAAATTCGTCTGCCCCCCTCCCAGCCCCGGAG